GACATTTGACATCCCATGTCACCAATAATTTTTTAAACTGAAAGTTACAGTTTAAACATAAGATGTAACTTAACTATATGTACTTCTATTTGACAGCTTCTAAATGTTTGGACCCAGAGTGCCTCTACCCAGGCACCTCCTACCCTCCCAATATTAAATCTTCTTGTCCTATTTATTCTACTTTAAAGATTATAGACTTTAAGCCATGTGACATCATTTGCCTTTGTATTTTTGTTACAAAAATTATCTTGCTGAAAAATTTGGAAGTGTATGTTTATCTAATAAACAGAAGTCAAAAGCAGGTGTGTACATTGAGGGAAGAGGGGAGAATACATGACGGAATTAGCAGAAATTTACATCTTCTCTTTCCTTGTACTATGCAGAATCCCCGAGTTTTCCATTTTGTAGTAAACCACACCATAAAGCAAACAAATATACACACACCAAAATAAGGGCATGAACTTTGAAAAAGCCATCAAGTCTGAATACTATATCATTATCTATAGTTCTTAAAGGTGATTCTTAACTCACTAGCAATAAAATCCCAGGAATTTTTCAATTCCAGAAACATAATATAAAGCAATAGAGAAATATCTATAATTTTTTACATGAATGATATTTACAGCAAATTCTCACTGGACCAATAATCCATTATTCACCTTGCTAAAGAAATTCTTGCTCGTTGACCTCCACTCAGTGTGATTCCACCTTCTCCAAGAACTATATTGTCTTTCTCTGCAAACTTGGAGATATCCTATTATCAAAAATAGAAAATTAGAGAGGAACTTTTATTGTGTTGAATCTGAATTCAAAAGGTACATCTTCCTTCAAATGTAATCATATATCACACTATTGCTTTAACCACAGGTAAAATTTTGAACATTGCATCTCAATTATTTCAAATGTAATTTATTTAGTTAGTCAAAGCAACATTGCTAACATTTCAGATGTAAATTTTTCTTTAATTTTTAAAATGTCATTCATGATCTTTAAATAAGAAATATATCAAACAGTGAAATACATTTATGGGTACATAAATGTGTATAGGTCATCCATAGGCCTATTTCACAAACCCGAATGCTATCAGCATACTAAAGTGCACTTGCCTCCAATTAAATTCACTCTTTTAAAAGGAAATTTCCAAAAAATGAATAAACATGGTAATAAGAGAAACTAAAAGAACATTATTCACACCCCTGCAGTATTTAAGCATCTTCACTGGACTGCCTGGGTGCAAGGCAGCTCTTTCCATACTTCTCTCACACCCCCTCTCAACCAGCACAGCTTTCTTCCTCATCCGTCCTCAGTACCTCATTCCTGCATCCTTTTCCTGTTAGAGTAGGAAACCAGGAGACAAGGCTGAGACTGGATGCATGGGCTTGAAGATTGGGTGCAGGTGTTGAAATAAATAATGCTCAGGCAGAAGCCAACTAAAGTGGCTGATAACCACAGACAAAAACTGGCTTCAACCAGCTTGTCAGCTATCTCTATCACCTTACACGAACTTTGGCTAATTACAACATCATTTACATTGTGGTTTTAAAATTTCTCCTGCCTTGAAATCACCATGACAATTCCGAGACAACCGTATGAAGTATAAAAATGGGAGGGAATCCAATTCTAGAAATTACTACCCAAATTCTTAGTAAAAGCCAACACTTTAGCCTTGCATATTCCTCCTCTTAATGAGTAAGACTTCAAAAGCTGTCCTTTTTGAGCCTGCCTCCTCTCTTTCTCAAGTGTGTATTTTTGCTTTCTTTCTTTTTTTTCTTTTTCTTTTCTTTTTTTTTTTTGAGACAGAGTCTCATTCTGTCACCCTGGCTAGAGTACCGTGGCATCAGCCTAGCTCATGGCAACCTCAAACTCCTGGGCTCAAGCAATCCTCCTCCCTCAGGCTCCCAAGTAGCTAGGACTACAGGTGTGCACCACAACACCCAGTTAATTTTTTTAATTTTAGTAGAGATGGGGTCTTGCTCTTGCTCAGGCTGGTCTCGAACTCCTGACCTCAAGCAATCCTCCCACCTGGGCCTTCCAGAGTGCTAGGATTACAGGCATGAACCACCATGCCTGGCCATTGCTTTCCATGAAAAAAGCTATCACTTGCTTGGCTTACATGGTGCATCCTGAAATTCTTTTCTCCCAACCATCACCAAGAACCTGGAAAAACCTCCACTCAGAGGCTGCTAACATTCCCATCTACTCTGCCTCTCCTGTCATCCTTTTTCCCAGGTAATGAATATCTCTGTGGCCACAACCATTCTAGGCATTGTAAAAGAAGATTAGAATTTCTAAGAAATAGTCCTTGGTTCCCAGGAGTACTTTCATTTTTAAGCCTTTACTGCACTGTTTTATACATCCATCCTCTGTACCTGTTTCCCAGTAATTAGTAAGACAACTCACAAGTGTATTTCTTCTCTCATGCCCCATATTTTCTTTCTCCCAATCCCATTCCCCTTTTAAAAACTAAATCTTTTGGAGGAAAAAAAGAGAAAGAATGATTTGTCTTATATGAATAGACTGAGGTGCAGGCTTTTATGAAAGAGGCAAATTTTCTAATACATTATTAAAAAGCTAGAGGTTGCTGGAATTACTAGTTTTCCTTTTTTTTCAAATTTGAATTCAACACTGTATTTTAAATCAGTTAAAATTTTAAAATATTTTTTAAATTAAAAAATATCAGTAGCTATCTAGACAGTACGATTATGACACAGTTAACTTTAGGGAATGGATTATAGATGTAGAGAGTGAAGAATCCTAGTCCAGTGCAAGCATTTAATAAAAAGGTTTATAGAACAAGGAATAGAGATAGGGGGAAGGGAAGTCAATCAAATATTAAGTTACAACGAAAGAGGTATATATAAGAAAAGAAATGAAGAAAGGTGTACAGAGGAGAGAAAAAAATGGAAAAGGAATAATTGTCAGGAGAAGTAGATATCTGTAAAAAAGAAAAAAAAGCAAGAAGACATTGGCAGAATAAAAGAAACAGCATCTACAGCCATACCATCCTGAACACGCCTATCTCATCTGATCTCGGAAGCTAAGCAGGGTCAGGCCTGGTTAGTACTTGGATGGGAGAGTAAAAGAGACAAGAAAAGTCAAAAGCAAGATAAGGAACTACAGTGCGCACTTTAATAAATACTCCTACTAAATATAAATGTCCAAAGACTGCAAGTTACACCAATTTTCTCAAGACAGGTTGTTTCAGCCAAATTTCTCTCTTAGAAATCTATAATATTTATATTTTAAACAAGTCAAGGAAATAGGAGGAGAAAGAAGGAAAATAAAGTATTCTCTTCCTTCTTTCCCATAAGAATAGAGTGAAACAAAATATTGGAGAATCACGAGATCATCATGTGAGCTCAGCCTTTGCACGTTCAGATCTAATAGAACAACATCAAATTCCTCCAAAGAGGACCAGAAACAGCACTCCCTTTGGTGCTGTCAGTCTTCAAATCCTAACTTGAAGCTAGTCGAGGAAAAGGAAAAAATGCTTAAGAAAATGAGGGATATAGGGAAGGAATTGCTAGATAGTTTCTTGGTTACCATGTAACTCTGCTTAATTACAATGACAAGCTCCTCTGATTCCTTATTTTCAGGGCAATATTTGTCTTGAGCACCTATGATAGCGTACTGTGCCCTAGTGCCTGGTCTTTTCAGCACTCTCAGTCAGTAAACCATAGCCAGCATCCCTGGAGTGTCCCAGGCATGCCTGGGGAGGTGGCTACTGTGCTCTCCTTCCTTGGCCCAGTTTAGAGGGACTGGGATCTGTCAGTATGAAACCTTCCCCCCACACTTGGAAGAGCTTCCAGGTTGTGTACACCCTGAGAAAATGCCACAAAGAACTGCATCCAAGTGTCCTTGCTCCTGAGTCACTGGTCAGTTGAAATCTGAATTATATTTGTGAAATCCATTTTGAGAGCTATCAGATGTCATGTAAACTGTGCTTGTCATGGTTGCTCAATAAGTAACAAAACTGGAATATTGAATTGGACAACATGAGACCCAGAATTTGAACTCTGGTCTGTCAGGTCTATTGTGAAATCTCAGTTACTTAACAGCTCTGTGACTCAATTTCTCTAACCAAAAGCTGTGTCAAATAATAGTTTGCATTTCATAAAGGGTGCTAAGTATGAAAAGTAAGGAAATGGTATTTATAAAACAATTCACTAAATACAAAGAAATCAAATAAAATGTGACAATCCAAGTGGAATAATTTTTGTTCTAAAATAAAACTTTAAACAAAATGGAAAACATGAGCAGCAACGTTAACCAAAGAGTAAAAATGACCTGTTTTCTAGCCTTGTCTCCACTACTGGACAAATAGCTCTGGGCAAGTCTCTTGCGGGCCTTACTTCTCCATGTGTAAAATAGGGATAATAGTATCTTCTTTTAACAGTTGTAAAAATTTGAAGTAACTTAATATAAAGGGATTGGTCTATAATATACATGGAAACATTGGTGACTCCTGGAATTTTACAATGAGATACTTACCAATGATCTGTATATGGCATTCATTTCCCTTTGGCCTTGAGTAGATTGTCAACCCAATTCAATATTATGCCCCATTCTACCATTAGAGGAAAAGCAGATTCTTAAGGCCTAATCATATAGCCTCTATTAGCATATTATTATAAGGACTATATAAGGGATAACATACAGAGAAAGCACTGGACTTAGAACCAGAAGCCCAACTCCCAGATTTGCATGACCTTGCCAGATGTACTGCTGTTGTTGACATTGCTATGTATGTGGCCATGCACTTTCAAACTAAAAATCAAGATTCCTAAGGGTGAGGTAAACATACGTGATGTTCCCAAACAGGATCTTGACTTCTTTTCTCATCTTCCGAGCACTGCCACTGCGGAGATGGTGGTTAATTTTATATAACAATGCTAAATTGTGCTATGATATTTTTATTCATCTTATTGCCTTATTATAAAAGAATCAAGAGAGAGGATGCAAGCTCTTTA